GCCGGTCCCCGCAGGCCTCCCCTCTCCCTGGGGGGCTCCCGCCGTTCCCAGCCCCGGGGACCCCGAGGCCTTTCCCCTGGCCCCACTGTGCAGCCCAGGGGTTTGGGGTGCCGGTGCCTGCCCTTCCCATCTCGACACCCCCCTCCCCGTACCCTTGGCCCGCTTGTGCCCGTTGCCTTCCCTTGGCTCCTGGGAGAAGGCGACTTGCTGCACCCCAGCAGCGTCGGGGCCCTGCGCAGCCATCGAGAGCCTGACCTGAAGCCCAGTGGCTCTCGCCTCCCGCAGTAGCTCCGCTGGGACAAGAGCTGGGGCTGCAGAGCCGGGCCCTGCGGGGCAGCAGCCTCACAGAGACGGCCTTCACCAGCCTCGTCTTTCCTTGCGACGGCTCCTTTAGATCCAGGCCGCTGCTCTCCAAGCTTCAAGCCCAAGAGGCACTGGGCCACTTGCAGGAGCTGAGCCTGCCCAACTTGTTACCAGGACCACCCGCAGTGCTCCTAAGCCTTCCTAGGCTAGAAACGGCCTTAGCTCTAGCTCCATGGCCACCTTCCTCGGAGGTGACTTGACCCCTCGCCTGCTCCTCCGCTCAGCGGTAGGAACAAAACCTTCCTGCCGGCCATCCTCCGGGCCTCTTCACGCTCTGTGCTGCAGCACAGTCCCAGTCTCGCCCGCTTTGGCCCCTTTTTGCCCGCAGTCAGCCTCCCCCCTCCCCCAAACCTTCGGAAAGGACGCGGCCCCGAGTTCTCCACAAGTGTTTATTGTCCCAATACGCGGGAGGCAGAGGCACGGTCGGAGCCCCAGAGATCTGCGGCTGCGGTCACAGGCTACACCCGATGGAGAAGCTGTAGGCACGAGGAGGTGCGGGGGCACCGGGGTGGGAGCCGTGGGGGCCGGGGAGGAGGTAGCTTGTCGTGGTGCAGTAGTGCAGCAGCATGGCTGAAGTGTGCAAGTACCCGCCCGGGGCGGGGGAAGGCACCAGGATTGGCACGAGCGCCGCAGCGCCGGGCAGCAAGGGCAGACCGGGGTCTCCTCCTCACAGCAGGCGCGGCAGCAGCGAGCCCCTGCCCAGCTGACGTGGCGCTGGGAGAGGGGTCTGTACCCCTAAACACCCCCCTTCCAGGAGTGGGAGCGCACAGGGCTCAGCAGAAAAACGTTTCAGTGCGGCACGGGCCCGGCTGGGCAGGCACGCCGTGCTCTGGAGATGCTGTCTGCTCACCAAACTGAGGGGAAAGGGTGTTTTATCCTTTTTCTAACCCCTTTCTTGGCCAGAAAGGATCCCCTGTGCTGACGGGGAGAGCCAGACAGTGCGGATTTGTACCTTTGTAGTGCTGCCCCCCCCTCCAGCTCTCCCAGGGCTGCCCATACCTTTATTCCTGCCCCTATCCTTGCCCTCTCTGCCCAAAGCCTGGCTGCGGTGTGGGGGGGTCAGTGCCACCGCAGAGGGGTTCGGCTGTCTGGAAGGTATTTCGTCTGGCCTGCCCGTGGCAGGGGGGCGAAGCAGCCGGGTCACCTCCCCTCGAACAGGAGCCTGACGCTCGGTGGCTCAGCCCCGTGCTCTCGCAGGAGGGCAGGACACAGGCAGGGAAAGGTGGGCAGCGCGCGCCCCGGGATGGGTGAGGTGCAGGCAGCGCACGCCCAAGCCCCCAGCCAGCGCCTGGGCTCGTCCCTTTGGGCAGGAGATGGAGGACAGAGCCTGGAAGAAGGGGTTTGATTTTGGG